ACAATTTTTTTCTTTAATTTTAATCTTATGTATTTGGTACAGGGTCTCACTACATAGCTCAGACTCATAGTGATCCTGTTTCAGCCTCCCCAGTGCTGGAATTACGGCGTTCACCACAACACTTGGTCTTCGGGGCCAGTGAAAACTTTTTATTTTTAAATGGCAGCCACACATTTAGTTAAGCCAACAAAACAAACAATCTAAATTGGCCAATTTGTAGATCCTGTGAGGCCAATCCCTTCAAACTATTATACAGATAAGGAAAACGAAGATGCAGAGGAGTCTGTATTAAGGATTCTCAAAACAACAGACCAATCACCTAGGCAGCTGAAGATCAGCAGCTGGAGAGCCCGCACGAGAACATTCCGTGGAGTTTCATGGATTCCAAGCAGCTGATTCCATCAGCTTATTCATCTGAGAGAACAGCACGTTCTGCCTCAGGACACTGGCTATCCTGTGTTCACCTTCACATAGGAAGGATGCTCTGAAAGATGCTGAGAAAAGATTCTAAAGAGGGAAGTACGTGACATCAGGCTGTACAGGGAGAGAGAAGGAAGTACACAAAAGGAACAAATACTAAGAGTAGGATATGCCATGTGCTGTAAAAGGTGCGGCAAGTAATTCTTTGCCACCCCTATGCACGTCTGAATATTTCTCATTCAGATTTAAGTTTTAGTATCACTTTCTCGGCCGATTTCCCAGGCTATTCTCTCTGAAGAAGGCTCCCCTGAAACGCCCTCTGAAACTTGTCTCTCCATCATTGCATTAGGACCTGTCAAGAGCCTGTAGGCTGAGGCAAGAGGATCGCAAGTTCGAGCACATCTCCTGGGTTCAACCTGTCTCCAACTCTGTGATCATGTTGCTTATGTACACACCAGCTCCCCTCACCAAACGCAGGCTCCAAGAGGGCAGGTGCTTTGCACGTTGTAAGTGCCCAACAATTACGTTAAACACTTATAAATATTTATGAGAATACATCTGTACTGAAAGACTTCGGGCTACTCCTTAAATTCTTCTTAGCCTCCAGTTCCATTAACACCAAGTGGGAGGTACAGCTTTATTTCTAGGGAGAAATAGTTAAGGAGCGAAACATTGGAAAGCAGAGCTATAAAGCATTTTTTCTCCAGGTCGCACCGCAGCCTTTTGGACGAACTGTGGGACAGCTTGCAAACAAATTATCTGCAAAGGAAAGAAGCCTATTTTTAAAGATCCCTGCAACTCGCTGCTCCAGGCGATGACGTCAGAGAACCCGAAGTTCCACCTCCAAGTCAAGCCTCGTGGTTCTCAAGAACTACGAGTCCCAAGACACACCGCAACGCAGGGGCCTGGAGCTCGTAGAGCGGCCCTCCCACCCGGCGCACCTTGGTTGCGCTGTAGAACTAGGAAGCCATCCGACCCGTCCCGCTGAACGGCTGGGCGCGCGAAGCCTGCCGGGACTTGTAGTCTCCATAAATTGGGCGTGTCTGCTCCGGAATCTCAGTCGCTGTCTGCGGGCTGAGGCGGCGCGGAGCGCGCATGCGCAGTGCGCGGGCGGGCCGTCGTGGGCGCCGCTCCCGGCAGCTGAGTGCCTGTGGGAGCCGGGGCGGCGGTGCCGCGGGTGCTCCGGACTGAGTCCTCGGTAAAGTAGGGTGTGTGGCGCGTGGCCGCGCTAGGGCGGGGGGAGGAGGTGACGAGGCCCGGTGTGAGGCGGCGGCGGTGTTCCCGGAGCGCCACGCCGGCGGTGGGGAGCGGGAGGCGCCCGCGCGTCCGCTG